AGATACGCGCGTTAGAGTAGTGAAGTTACTCGCTTTAGAGGAAGGGAAGGTACCCGCGTTAGAGGAGGGGGAGGTAGCCGCGTTAGAGGAGGGGAACGTACCCGCACTAGAGGAGGGGAAGGTACCCGCGTTAGAGGAGGGGGAGGTACCAGCGTTAGATGGGAAGATACCCGCGTTAGAGGAAGGGAAGGTTCCCGCGTTAGAGGAGGCGGAGGTAGCCGCGTTAGAGGAAGGGAAGGTACCCGCGTTAGAAGAGGGGGAGGTAGCCGCGTTAGAGGAGGGAAGGTGCCCGCGTTAGAGGAGGGGAGGTACCCGCATTAGAGGAAGGGAAGGTATCCGCGTTAGAGGAGGGGAGGTAGCCGCGTTAGAGGAAGGGAAGGTACCCGCGTTAGAGGAGGGGAGGTACCCGCGTTAGAGGAAGGGAAGGTACCCGCGTTAGAGGAGGGGGAGGTAGCCGCGTTAGAGGAGGGAAGGGTACCTCTCCCTCCTCTAACGCGGGTACCTTCCCCTCCTCTAACGCGGGTACCTTCCCTTCCTCTAACGCGGGTATCTTCTCATCTAACGCTGGTACCTCCCCCTCCTCTAACGCGGGTACCTTCCCCTCCTCTAGTGCGGGTACGGGAACCCGCGTTAGAGGGGAAGGTGCACACGTTAGAGGAGGAGGAGGTACCCGCGTTAGAGGAGGGGAAGGTACCAGCGTTAGAGGAAGATGAGGTGCCCGCGTCAGAGGAGGGGAAGGTACCCGCGTTTGAGGAGGGGGAAGTACCCGTGTTAGAGAAGGAGGTACCCGCGTTAGAGGACGGGAAGGAACCCGCGTTAGAGGAGGTGGAGGTACCCGTGTTAGAGGAGGAGGTACCCGCGTTAGAGGAGGAGGTACCCGCATTAGAGGAAGGGAGGAAACCCGCGTTAGAGGAGGGAAGGTACCCGTGTTAGAGGAGGGGAAGGAACTTGCGTTAGAGGAGGGGGAAGTACCCGTGTTAGAGGAGGAGGTACCCGTGTTAGAGGAGGAGGTACCCGTGTTAGAGGAGGAGGTACCCGCGTTAGAGGAAGGGAAGGAACCCGCGTTAGAGGAAGGGGAGGTACCCGTGTTAGAGGAGGAGAAAGTACCCGCGTTAGAAGAGGGGGAGGTGCCCGCGTTATAGGAGGAGAAGGTACCCGTGTTAGAGGAGGGGGAGGTACCCGCGTTAGAGGAGGGGAACTCACCCGCGTTAGGGAAGGGGGAGGTAGAGGCGGTAAGGGGAAGACGAATGCAGTCAGGTAAAGGGGAAAATGTGCAGGTAAAGGGGAAGATGTGCAGGTAAATGGGAAGATGTGCAGGTAAAGGGCAAGATGTGCAGGTAAAGGGGAAGATGTGCAGGTAAAGGGGAAGATGTGCAGGTAAAGGGGAAGATGTGCAGGTAAAGAGGAAGATGTGCAGGTAAATGGGAAGATGTGCAGGTAAAGGGGAAGATGTGCAGGTAAAGGGGAAGATGTGCAGCTAAATGAGGAGGTGGGTCAGGTGGAGTAAGTAGGACGGAAAGAAAATGCCAGCGGGAAGGTTGAGAAAGCTTGACCGCCATGAGTAGAACTCGATCGCTCTACCCGTGTAGCTCTATGGGAGAACCTAGAGGTGGCAGGGAAGACAGTAAAAGGAGAAGGTCGAGTAGGTAGAGAAGAGAAAGAAAGAGAGAGAGAGAGGCGTGCTAAAAACACCAAGCAGCGTGGTTTCGCAGTGTACAGCCATAGTTTATTCATTCATGTATCATAGTCAAAACCAAAATCACCGAGTTTAAATTACGGGCGATCTGCCCTGGTGCAACCGTACAAGATTAAAAAAATCGCTGGGCCCAGTTATTTACATTTGACCTGATTTCCACCAGTAAGGACGTGCCTCCTGCAGCAGGCACTGCAGATTTTCCTCATGTAAATCAAGTGTGCCCATCTCACCAGTAGATGATACGTCATGTTGTAAACGCAAACGTTAGACTCTGTGTTAGACTACCCTAGTAGTGTGGTGTCGAAATTCGCGGGGGGTGGGGTGTGAATAATTTCCTGAATAAGTTACATGTACACGTATTTGCGATAGTTATGTCCCATGTTTTATTGCATCAAGTCATCTCCCTCATACTGACCCATTCACCAGTTCCGGGACAGGCATTGGTTCCCCTGGTTCAAGATTCAGAGAAAAATTATAGGACTATGTGCATGTATAAGCAGAGGCAAGGTAATAACAGAATAATATAATATGATATTACCCGATATAATACACATTTGAAGTGAACACGGAAATATCAATTGGAAACAAGATATAGCTAGTAAACAATGTAATAATGACAGAGTATTTACAACCACACAAAATCGTAAGCTTAAACATACGACTGCTGTGTATGGAACAATAATGCCGTGTGACACATCTGTAACCAACCACGGAGGTTTATTGCTTGATGAGAATAGGCCCTATAGTATAATATCACAATTAATCACAAATGAATAGTCATTGAAAACGTACTCCTTGGTTGGTCTTATACTACTTTCGACGTTATTCGATCTACGTTGCATCGTGATTGTATAAATATGCAGGCAACTGTATGGGTGGATTCAAATGAGGAAGTTCTAGCGTGTCGGCATCCTCTTTTGACTTTAGACCGAATTTTTCCAGTGTGCGACGAAAAACTGTTTCAGTTGAAATAGAACAAAGTTCTTCAAAATAGAAAATATGTAACGAGAATCTATTGGATTGTAAACGTATTTCTCTTAAAAAAAACCACTTGTGTGTACCCTGTTCCCCCATGACCTTCTTTAGCCACTCCATGCACACTCACCTGACTCTCCTATACAGAATTGGATTCGCCCAGAACAATTAGCGCCTGTCAGCCGTACGTAACAGTTTATGTAATCAGGAGTGCACAGACAGATTAACACCGCCATTAGCACTGACACTGTTACTGACATTAATACTGCCATTGACATTGGAACTGAAATTGACACTGACATTGACATTGACATTAACAAATAATCCTGGTGTAATTGATATGAGGAAACCCACGCTAGCACTCACGACTCACGACTTCACATGAGAAAAAGAGTACACGTAAATAGAGAAAAAAGGTGTGACCGACATTTCGACCTACTCAGCTTTCTCAGACACTGAAATCGGACCTATATAGACTATAGTCCAATTTTCAATAATGAACTTGTTCGGAAAAATCGTCGATTTGGCTTAGTGCTCTCCAATAGAAACCGTTAAAAAGGGCGAACGAGAGCGGAAAAAGAATCCTCGACGCCTTGTCTATCCGACTGACGCTATTTACACCACTTTTGTGGGCTGTTTTAGACATTTTCTTACGATAGTGTGGATTAGAAATGATGCACTGCATGAATTTTGTACAGCATGAATCTTTACGCAGTGAGTCGTGCGACTGTTCTTCTACCTGGCGGCGAAGATGTTCACTGTAAAAGCGTCGATCTGCGGTGTTGTTCTGGGACGGGTAGTAAGAAACCTCTGCCTGCCCCACGTCCTATTAGAACATAAAAGATAGCAATTTTACGGATAAGACTGACCTAATTATATATTGGGCTGAATCCAGCAGGAGTAGAGCGAGATATAATTGTCGGCATTGTCGGCAATGTCAGGCATTGTCAGGCATTGTCGGCGACGCTGGCGCCTTTATTAACGATTAGCACGGCCACAATGCTGCACCGTCGACATATAATTAAGCTGCGTCATTGAGTCGCCCGTAGACAAAAAACAATGCAAATAGCTACTTTAGGATTTACATTAGTTAATGAGTGATTTCTCGTCGCATCATTATATACACACGCACGCACGCACGCATGCACACACGCACGAACGCAGGCACGTTAATGAGTGATTTCTCGTCGCATCGTTATATACACACGCACGCACGCACGCATGCACACACGCACGAACGCAGGCACGTTAATGAGTGATTTCTCGTCGCATCGTTATATACACACGCACGCACGCACGCATGCACACACGCACGAACGCAGGCACACACTCGCACACACACACACACGCACGCACGTATAGGCCCGCACACACGCACGTACGCACAATACACACACGCGCGCACACACACACACACACACACACACACATAAACATCACACTGGCGACGCTGTTCACCGTGCACACACACACACACAACCACAACACACACACACACACAACACACACACACACACGCGACATATCATATGCAGTCCGATCGATTCATGCAGAAATCGTCAACATCTGCCATATGGTTAACCTTTAAGTCGCTGTCGTCGTCGTCGGGAGTGTCGCCGTAGCCATACTCCTGCTCTTCGTCGACGTCCTCCCAATCTATATCGGTGTCGGTGAAACGTTCGCCGCTGCCGACCTTGGTGAAATAGTGGACGCCAGCATACTCTAAAAGCGTCGCTGAAAGCAGAAGTAGAATATATAGTCAAACCCGTACACGAGGATCACTCTAGGAAAACCAGAAAAGTGTCCTTCATAGACAAGTGTCAGTTATATAGAAATATCCGCTAACACCAGTCATACTGTAATCTTATTGCAATGCCTTTATCAATATTATCTATGGCGTGAGTAGCTCTACCGGTGTATCTCCTTCGCTCCCGCTACAGGACCCCCCCCCCCGTAGCGGGAGCGAAGGGTTACATTGGTAAAGATATGGTGCGAGTAGACGTAAGTAACACAGGAACCCCCCTGTAGCGGGAGCGAAGGGCTACACCGGTTTAAGCTATGGTGCGAGTAGACGTAAGTAAGACAGGAACCCCTGTAGCGGGAGCGAAGGGCTACACCGGTTTAAGCTATGGTGCGAGTAGACGTAAGTAAGACAGGAACCCCCCTGTAGCGGGAGCGAAGGGCTACACCGGTTAAGCTATGGCGTGAGTAAAGCTCGTAAATAATAGTCTTCAACGTCCAAGGGACTATATCGAAGACGAAAAGAGACAAGTTGATCAAATAGACTAATCAGTAGACGTAAGTAACACAGGAACCCCCCTGTAGCGGGTGCGAAGGGCTACAGTAACTGTAATACCGGTAGAGCTATGGGGTGAGTAGACGTAACGTTTATAGTATCCTTGTTGACAATGGACCCAGTGTGCGCTGATACACGCGAGTCCTACTACTCGCGAGTCTTACACGCGAGTCTTACGCTTCTACAACCTTCGCTCGACTTCGAAGGACAATTATTAGAGATGAAATAACAAATTCTAAGACGGGGTAAATAGATATGGGGTAATAGACTACACCAACTTGTTTTCTATTAGTGTAAGTACTCCCGGGTCTGTGCCTCATTTCGGATCGCAGTGACTCCCCATACACCCTCCTGCTCTCCACTACCCACCATACACTCACTCGACCTTTTCCCACCAGTGAGTAGAATCTAAAATGATTTTATTACCTTGTTAGTTAAACACTGATTTGGTTTATCAATCTTTGCGAATGAATATTAAGTGCGTTCTATAAAAAATTCCATTGAATTTATGTACTGTATATTTAATGTACACGTGGGGAAAAGAAAGGCTGGGAAACGTAGCTATATTGTATTTTATATGCTTCTTATGGGGAAAATTGTTTCTGTTAACATTGTTTCGTCTGGGTTTATTTATATTTCTCCCATTTATTTGTCATTGCACATTAGTTTAATTGATCCTTTAACGTTTTTAAAATGACTTTTTAAACTCACGTTGTTTAGGTTTGTAGAAACGACGTAAGAACACTGCTGACGTCAAACTAGGACTGAGTTCAGTGAATGTCGGGTGACTGAGAAAACAATTCACGAGGTTCGCAAGATTCTTCATCAGATTCTTGCAGGATACTAACTTGAGCTGTTTGTAAGGGTCTGATTTTAAAATTTAATGACGAGGATAACGTTAATATAAACTCTTAGTATAATGATAATCAGCTTTTTCGTGTAAGGTGATTATTATGTATAATCTCATAAACTGCACAGAAATGTAAAGCTATTCGAAACTCGATTAATAAGCACAACAATACAGCGATAGATGCGTGGACTTAATTAAAAACATGGGATGCTCCAACACGCCCCGTCAGGAGTACGTTTAATACATAGCGGATAGCGAATATAACAAGATTTAGGTTATTTCCGTGAGAACGAGATCTACCGTTTGCGCGCAAATACGCCACGCCGTTTCGAAAATATTCCAACTATTCTGAAACTCACCAAATCTGTCAGTCATAAATGTTTGTTAACACTTTTCTTTTATAATGCTCGATTTAGGTATCCTGCCAATACCTGCCCAGGAAAACGTATTCTCTCTAACATTTTTTTGCGGTATGGATTCCCCGCATATTTGTAATCTTCATCATTCTCTTCATTTTATTTAAATTATTAATAGTGTAGCGATATTCTAATGCGATTACTCGAACAATGCGATTGCATTTCATATACAGACTGTTTATTTAACTGACGTCGTGACAACAAAACTGACATTCTACTGTACGCGCAGAACTCATTTGTGTATGTTCATCCGCTTACTTCCAATATTATTAAAGCCAAAAAAGACCAATTGCGCGGCTGTCTGGAAAAGTGAGTGCGGGTATTTTCATCGCGTCTACATGCGCACACTTACCGATAACGAACATGAAGCACATCACGAGAAACCAGTCGAGAGAAGTTGCATAGGAAACCTTCGGCAAATCCGTCCTGCTGTCCGTACTGAAGGTGGACAGCGTCAGTACGGTGGTTATGCCTGCGAACGTACAGATAAGTGGAGCGGACAATGAGAGAGATTATCACAGATATGAACAACACACCCCCCACAGTCATGAATGCGCCGATATGCGAGCGTGTGCTAATAACGTACGCGAAGTCTCAATGCCCGCCGGCAACTGCCGTGTTTTCGTTTAATTTCTTTAGGTCAACAGAGTTTCATGAAACACGAATCGCCTGGTAAGGATGAGGGACTAGCGCCGCCCGCGAAATTTTTTTTCCCACTTGAGTTCCGGACCCACCATAGATAGTGTTTTGTAATATATGGTTCGTATATATATGGTTGGATTATAGTTAGTGTTCGGGTTCGGGTACGTGTTAGGGTTAGGGTTAGGGATAGTGGTTATCCATTTTACATTGTTGCTTCGAGGAAGTCAAGTGAATGGAGTGCGCTGATTGGCTGTGGTCCGGAATTCAAGTGGGAAACAAATTTCGCGCGGCGCTCTGCTAAAAAGCAGCATAAAAAACCCACACCGCAAAAGCCCTAAAATAAATTTGTAGCAATATTTTTGTTTCGCGTCCGAAAGGTAGTGTAGATTCCGGTTCAGTTATGTATAATCATTCGAATTCCTACGTATTGCGGATCAACATTGTCATAATATATCTATCTTCAAATAAACCTCGTACCGTCTTTTATATCTATACTTTTTACAGTTTGAAATTGCCTACAATTTGTTACTAAAACAATATATTATATACGTGACCATCCGGATATTTAGTTGTAGCATGAACTTATATAACGTGTATGAGCTTGTCATATATGCTATGCTGTGTATATAGATATGTTTATAGCAAGAGTGTCATAATATAGATATCTATATACGTAATAGATATCATATATATATATATATATATATTATATAGACATAGATATAGATATAGATTTAGATATAGATATAGATTTAGATATAGATATAGATTTAGATATAGATATAATATCTATATTATGACACTCCTGTTTATAGTAGCGAATATAGACGTGCTTACTTACCGAGGCCTACGCGGTCTGCTGTTGCTTCTCGATTTAGCCAAAATGATACCCAGGATAAGACTACCAATAATATACAGGGAAGGTATATTTGAATGAGAAAATATCCGGTGTGCCTACTAAGATGGAATTGGATTTTCAGGACGGAAAACTCATCTAGAAAACCAAAAGAGACAGGCAATTAAAAGTATATATCCGTCACACACTGTTTACGGTATTAATCAATAAATTAATTAATTGAATTGATTGTTTTATTTAATTAAAGTTAAGTTAATTTAATACTTATATTTTGTGTGATTTCTATTGTACAGTTGTCAACCAAAGTTGTTGTTTTTTCTCACTACGCATATGATACAGAATAGACAAGATGCTATTTTAATCGCTTTTTTCACTAATAAAATTACTAAACCGAGATTGTTCAGAGGCCATACACTGTAGTTTAGCGTTCAAAACTAACAAAACAATGTAAAGAAATGGTCCGATGTTCAGTCCAACATGGCCAACATTGCTTTAAAAAGTTCATGTCACAATATGTATTACGATTTATAACATCGCATATTAACGTTGTACGATTTATAACGATTTATAACGATTTATAACGATTTATAACGATTTATAACGATTTATAACATCGCATTAGAAACGTTGGCTTTTGTCGCGCTCTCTTGTGTATTGGTGTTATTGATATTTTAAATTGACTTTTGTCCTGCGCTGATTCACAAATGCATTCTATATGAGATTCGTTAAACGCTTCTGCTAACATTGAAATTCTTTCCAACTCTGCCTTCTTGCTTCATTATGATTGAATATTTAATTTCAACCACAATGCACGTCGACGTGCGTCTATTAGCTACTTTAATGCGGCTGTGTATAGGAGACGTCTATAGCAATACTGCAATCTCGGCACTGATGGCGGATCGACCGCGAAACGAATTCAATAAAACCGCTCCGATGCTACCTTTGGTTGTGGTCCAAAAATCGTTTAGTGAAACTAGTTGGTGATGATACGCATATAGTCTAATGCGTCGGTTCATATAGATTCTGAATAGGTTTCGGATCGCCGTTCAAAAGAGCATTTGCCAATATTTACCGATAGTTGTAATAGCGCTGTCCGATCACAATCGCAATTACTTTGTGCCCATGGAAAAATATGTTAGCCGAAAATTATTTCATGGCTGTTAATTACTACTAATTGTGTGATTAGTTTATAAAAACGCGAAACATTTTGACGCTGTGGTATTCTAGCTAGTCTACATATTTTATGACTTTCGTAGAGACTAAGCATAAATGCATCATTAATGTTCGAGTTAATAGGATTGAAGCAATGACAGTAAACGAGAGTGAAAACAAAGCAAGTGTTTTGGTTATATGGTATCGGGGAATAATGTGCCCCATTCATGAGCATTCCCATCGAAAATCGATGGGATCGATTGGGGGAGGGGTGATTTCGATGATTCATCCCCTTGTCAAGAAAGCAGTTCATGCCAGACCAAACAAAAATATGGTTCATATCAAAACCGTCACATTTTTAAACCATAAAATTACAATGTTTACAATGTCGGCACTACCCATATATATAGGCCTTTATATATATATATATATATATATCCTACGTTAGTCTCGATCGATTTAAACACAGCATGCATATGCCCTACAGTAGATGGCGGGAAGAGTGTTGGTGAGAGCTGGTGTCTTTGTATGTTGGTTTTGTGTGACGAGGGTTATAGAAATGAGCTGCCTTAGGCTATCGGGAAAAATGGATGAGGTTATTGGCAATTTCGGTCAGGGTGAATTACGGTGTAATAATGTTTTGAGATGAGGGTAGTTTCGGGTGATAATCGTTAAAAGGGAGGGAGTTATATCAAATAAATCAATAAATGGGAAATGTATAACGATTGATTCCTATAATAGATAAATTAAATAAACTACACTCGTTAGTTCTTTACAAAATATTACGTCAAGTATGTGCAAAACAAAAACTATTAAAACTATTAATGGTTCCGCTTCACTTTGATGAACAAGTAGCTTATAATGTGTGGTGGAGAAATTTAAACATTTATAGCGCGCACATGTGTATTTTGACTAGAAAAATTCAAAAATGAAGTTTTTATAATTTAGAAAACATGAATGAAATGTATGAATATTAGCAAGCACGTGACGTAGTGATTCTAATACAACAACAATATTCAATTCCGGAAACGTCTTAACTTGCGGATTGACGTGATCTCACCTAACGATTTTTATTGGAGTAGGAAAAAACTGGCACATACCATTTCTGTACTTCATGGTAGTGTTCATATACGGTGTCTTGAGAATTTGGAATTGTGATAACTCTAGATTCTTTTGAAAGTCCACCGGTTTTGCCACGTTCTCCGGTTTCTCCCACCGATAAACTAGATCTCGCACCGGATAGCTGTCTGTAACAAATCAATCAATATGCATTTTAGCAATACGTTCAATACAAAGCATGTATATAAAATAGCTAAACGAGGTGTCAGAGAAACCTATTTATACCAGCAAGAAGGTACATTACTGCGCATAAATCCTACTGACACCAGTCATTAGGCTTTGTGAAATTACATAAAATTGTCACAACATTGCATGCGCGTTTAATTGGCCACATTCTCACAGCTTTGTATTGCGTGCTGTTTAAATGACACTTCGCAATGTGATGCCGTGCTCGTGTATCGTTTCTAAGACATGTAACTGATAATGATAGCAGTGTACGAATGAAACGATGGATGAGATGTATTATTGATGCTATTCTCTTGTTTGATGTTTACATGGGATAGTTATACAGCTGCTGCTTATATATCACTTCATGGTCGAAAGGATTGCTGTGAGTGAGTTGTATTTTGTCACCGTACCGCCATGCACGCGGCAGATGTTTGGTAAATTGCATGGCGTGCTCAATACATATGCACAAGGAAATTAAGTGATGGATATAGCACATTGCGCGATTTTATAAAACGCTAAATGAGACAAGATTGATATGATATTTTAAAGCCCGTGATATCTCAGATGGTTGACATCATGTAATGATGTTCTTATAATTTCCCAATCATTTAGTCTTTAATGCATGGCGATTACATGCCATAATCACATATTATGTAAGCCCTCCTGTTTTTACAGGAAACAAGCCTTAAGTCTTAAATAGCATCGGCTATTATTTAGGTATATCGTTCACTCCACTACATGCATAAACTTCGTACTGTCGAATTATATCACACATATTATTAGGCCTACTGTTACGATCCATTCATAGTGTGCATATAGGGAAACAATACCAGATGGCTTGGTTTTTTTTTGCTCACGTAATTACAAGAGATTAGTTAGATGGATTGATGTGAAATAGAGGCATGAGCATTTGTACGCGAGCTTTCGGCATAATATACAGAATCTTTATGTTTCAAATTCACACATATGGCGCACGAAGAGCTCGCGTCTGACGATTAGTAATAGATATCCTTGAAACCAACCGTTTGTCGTTCGCGTTATTAGAAATCGCCGTTTTCAGAACGGTTTGGAATGTCAATATTCTGCATTTGCGTTGATGGCCTGTTATTTATTGTGTGATAGGGAGCAGTACGACATGCTGCTGAAGCTGCTGGCTTTGCGTGCAGTCGCTGTGAATTCAACACCATTACGAAGGATCAGTGTACTGTCTAAGTGTATCGGTCTAAGTGTGAAATCTAAAGGTCTGAAGGTCTTAATTTATTATACTTGTGTAGTAAATTGTATTATCAGTGAGTAGGCCTATATACTTGTGTATAACACTATACACTGTACTGTAACACGAATAGTCTGCAGTACGGATAATCCCACAATTAACTGGATTCAGCAGGCGAGGAACAATAACTCGGAGTTGCATCTACACGAGGCAAATATGACAGATATAAACACGCCTTTAAAACCTGGTCGCAAGTAACGACAATTCTGAAATGCCTGACGTAGCGTACCGCTGCTTTTTCTTCGTGTAGACACCCAAATTGCCCCGGGATAAATACAGCGATACAGCTATATGTAATACAGGTATTACATTTTGAGTAGCTAGAGCGTGAATATAGTAGACGTAGAGCGGGTAAGGGACTGCTAGTATACGTACAGCTTCCAACGACGAGTGGACACAGCTGTTGATCCATGGGAAACTTCTGCAGACGCATCGGACAGCTCGCTTTGATCGTTAACCTGTAAAATCACGACATGTGTACCTGACAAATGCACTGCGCGTCATCCCGACACCTGCACAACGCATACCTGTACAACGTCTTATATAAGCCGCATGTATTTTACATGAAACAGCACTGTGCGCTATTTTGTGGTGTTATATTTTGTATATGCGATTGTTTCGCGTCATGTGTTGTGACTTAGGTTGGAACATTTCGGTTACGGGTTGCGTCAATCGATGTAGCGCTCCATGGTGAGTTTAGGGACTAAGTTATCCATCCACCTGGCGTGGTTGACAGACAGCTCTAGCAAATCAGTGCGGCGATAGGACACAATTAAAACATTGCTTAGCAGCGATGCACTGCAAAGGCGATCTTTCTTTGCGCGAACGTGCACGTATACAGGTACGAACTGCTCGAGGTTGACCAACCTAGCAACGACATATAAAATCGGATAAGTCAATTAACACGAGCGCATGTTGAATGTTTATATTGATTCATACGCGAAGACATACCTCATTGAGTAAAACACCTCTCCGCTTTGCGAAACCCTAAGCAGTTTGTTTGGCGCGGTTATCGTATGCACGTACGAATCTTTCCCGTTCTGGAAAAATGTGTCCGGCTTCCAGATGTTCTTGAGAAACTGTATAGATATGGTGAGCGTCTCGTAGGGACCAGCATACATAAGTCTGTCGTCAAACCATCGCTGTCGAAAGTAGCAATCCATCTGATATTGCTGTTGAAAAATCCAGTTATATATACATACATAAATGCACACAGACACACGCGCGCGCGCACGCACGCACACACCCACACACGGACACGGTGACATTAGTATTGTGGTTTTTACTATACTTTTGTATAGCAGTCACACGTCTACGAAGTAAATCGTAATTATGAGAAAATAACCAGTTTGCGTTTTGATTAGCAACCTCACATTCACGCCGCGCATGTAGTCGAGCTAAAAACAAACAATAACAAATTTATCACGATTTTTGGTTCCTGATTTGATTTCACTGAATGTCACTTTAATAACAGACAGAAAATAAAAGCTATATCGTGCACAAAGCCGATTAATATTTTTTTAGGGGATGATAGTGTTCTACATTCATGTGTAAAGAGAAAACAAATTCAATCTGAAACATTTTTCAAAAACATTCAGGGAACCTTTAGTTATGTTGATTTCGCGGGATTGATGTGATTCTAAAAAATCTGAGATAATAGATAATATTAGATTAGCGTAGATAAACAATTATTAACCGCTAATCAATTATTGTTATTTTTGGAAATAAGGTTTTGTTTACTCTGGCACACCTTGACCGGTTCATCATAATTGGTTTTTCTTTATTTATTTTTATTCTCACTGCAGTATCCTCCGTGCTACAGACAATTCAAACCGTCCAGGAATTTGTAAATTAGACGTAAGCCTAACCACCTCACTTAAAATTAGGTTATTTCCTGGGCAAAGACATAATTACAATATATACAATATTTATTTTAAAAGTCATAGCTTTACTAATAGTCAGGGATTCCATAACGATGAAATATGACGAGAATTTATATTGCTACGTGTCCTAGACATAGCCAGTTTAGTGAAGCAATATACAGCATACTTTATCGTATCACTTAAAAAATCCTTAATGTTTAACCGTAATCGAAGACCGACTAATGTATATCAACCCAATGATATCCCCATGTCAATACCTCCAAACGGGAAAAATCTGGGAAAAACAAAAACATAAAACGACAAGAGCCTCTGGTGCTACAATTCGGTCATGGACGTCTTGGCCGTGTTGCTAAATGCTATCAAGAACTCATAAATATTGTGTGCTTTTGTTACTATAGTGTAAGGGCCATCATATGATCGCACAATGATGCTATCAGTATATTACATCTGTATCGTTCAATCCTACTGTTACTGCCACGGAGTGAACGCCGCGATTTCTCAATTCGTCCGGCCAACTTTCATATGATATTTTCACGGTTCTATCCGTCGAGAAGGATTGAAATTCGATCCTTTCATATTCCGCGGCAGATGATTTTTACATAGCGAAAGTTTTGGGCAAGCGAATTGTAAAAATGATCAGTATAGCCATCGATGCATTGCTACGCAGTCACTTACCATGTCCATTTCAGAGATCGGACCCATGCTTCGTACGTACACGTTGGTGAAAATGATAGTAGCATTCGGGCCTGTAAATATAACGGAGTAAATACAGCTTGAAGGGCCCTTTCAGTCCATTAATCGGATCTGGCCAAACTGTCTAGATTCATCAGGTAGGATCAAATTTCGAGCCTTTCACGCTCCATATCTGTAGTCACGCAATTGACAGCAACCGACGCATTCTAACCATTTCGAACTATATGGGTTAACTGTAACGATTGGGCTTTGATTGAATTTTGGATCCCGACGGCGGAAGAAGAAGTTAAGCAATCAATATACATGTTAGTCAACAGTTATGTGCTTATATTAATTACTCGGTCTTATTACTAATACTGAATTGTACTACGATGAGCTGAATTCTTTAATTTTTATTTGCCTACTAATGTACGCTTGTATACGAGGAATATCGATTGCGTAAATATACATAAACATATATTATATAGCATGGCGTATAATATATATATATATATATATATATATATATATATATATTTCCTATTATCTACTTCTGATATATATTTATCACTTTACTTTGTGCTGTACGCCCAGAAGAGAGGCGCGCGTGTCGAAAGCTATACTGGTCGACATAATTATGATTATTATTAGTGGATCTATAATTAAGTCGGCCGCGTAGTAGTTTTCCCGACGCCGTTTCAAGGAGAAAGCCATCGCGTGCGAATGAATATTATTACCGCAGTTGCCGTCGATAGATCCCAGCGAGATTACGGAGCGTTTCTCATTCAATTCTACATAATCTCGCCTCGTCCGACATAGCAAGCGATATTGTCTCAAACTCGATCACAGTCGAGCTCACTTTGATGAAAGTGAATACAATGGAATAAAAAAATTAATTACCGCGTGCGCGTAATCAGAAAAAGATGGGCTTTATGAACCGCGGGCTGCGCGCGGCAGTGTGTTTACAGCGAGCGCTATATATCTTCTTGTATATGATTTGTAAGGTCGAGCGTGCCGCTCTGAGATAAGATTGGTGCAGAGCTAGTGTCTCGTGGTTATTGTCAGTAACATTCACTGCTCACTATTGACTGCAGGCATTACATGAGCTATTGGTGAACTGTCCAAGATTAAAGAAAGAATATATATATATATATAGTATAATTCAATAGAGCGCCCAGGATGGAGCAGACATGTTGGCGGATAACAGCGGCTCGCGAGATTAGACAGGGAAGTTATCTAGGATTCGAAGGAAATAGGAACGACAGAGCATATAAAGTATATATATATACATGTGTGTATGTGTGTGTGTGTGTGTGTGTGTGTGAGGGTGTGGTGTGTGTGTGTTTGTGTGTGTGTGTGTGTGTGGCCTGTGTGTGTGTGTGGTGTTGTGTATGGTGGCGGGCGTGCTGGTGCGGGTGTGCGTGACGTGCGAGCCGTGCGTGAGATGGCTGTATGTATCGAGGGAGGTAGACAAGAGAGAGAGAGAGAGAGAAGAGAGAGAGTGTGAGAGCGAGAGAAGGGGAGAGCAGTCAAGACAGACAGACAAGACAGACAGAGAAGAGGCGGAGAAGAGATAGAGAGACCCGAGCTAAAGAACAAACGCGCGAAAAAGAGTATAGGAGAGAGGGAGCAAAAATGTAGAACGTGAATAAAGTGGTGAAGGAGCGCCTGAGCGAGAGAATAGAAGAACGCCGAAGAGAGAAGCAGAGAGAGAGTAAGAGAGGAGTGGAGGGAGAAAGTACAGGATGTAATAAAAATGACCTCTCCTAAAAAGTTTTAAACATGGTTGAAGCATGAGTGAAGTGCTCCGGCTCTCCACTTTTAGTCATCCACCAGTCAAATAAAAGGCTCAGCGCAGAGAAATAGTAAATTTGATTATTTAGTACGATGGTGAACTACGTGAAAAGACACCAAATTTGAAAACATTGCTGCAAACTTACCACGGATCGAATTCCATTAATAGTTGAACGAAATATTCGTTATCTAATCCATGGATACATGTCTATTATTTCTGGCGATCAATAGGTTCTATGATTTGTTTTAGGCAGTATTTTTAATTAATTGTTGGTGATTTGATATCTTTTATGGTCATATTCTTACTCAACTTGATATTTTATTATAATTATTCATATTGTTTTAGCGCATGTTTTATTTCTAAATATTTTGAAATTCATGAATTAATATTGTGTTCTATCTATCTGTCGTATCTTATCATTATCTCGTTATCTATGGAGGCTTGAGAGGAGGAATTACAACGAGGAGGGGAAGAAGGAATGAACGAACAATGACAAAAGAGATAGGAGGGAGAAAAGAGAGAGACAAAGAAAAAAGCGAGAGCGGAGAGAAGGGGGCAGCAGATGGAGAGAAAAAGGAAAAAAAAGAGAGGAGGCGAGAGAGCAGAGAAGAAGAGAGTGTGGCAGCAGACAATATATATATAGTATACATATAGATATATATATATATATATAATATATATATAGTATATATATTATTATATATATATATATATATATAATATAGTAGATATATATATGGTAATATATGATATAAGTACAATATCGTAAATCGTATCTACTGAAAGAGAGACGATTAGGAGACAGCATACTTGTATAGCTCTATATACTTAATATATTGTAGACTGTATATCTTGTATACCTTGTATACTTGTATAAAGTCACGAAAGCGGAAAGGTACTTTGCGAAATAGACTGCGTGGCATAACTTTAAAGAGGGCCAGTAATTGAAATACATGAACTGTTACAACAACAAAGACGATAAATGTTTCACTATTTTACCGCCATATCCGGGACGTAGCCTTATCGTAATCCATCAAGAAGCCACCATGAATTTCGACATGTTGTCGCGGGCGCTCTTTCTAATGGCATGCCCATTTATTACACCTGCGCGAATTTTCTTGTCAGCACAGCCTGTACAAAAGTCTGCAAAAAATCGAAATCACGATTATGAAATTCTTAGCTAACCATTCATGGCATTCAAGTTGCTAACGTGAAAAGACAATTAAAAAGCCTATGACTACGCCCACGATGACATCGTTTACATTGAGTAATTATGAGTTTAGTGTTTAGTTAATACTGAGCTGATTATCATGCTTTGTTTCCTGAACGTTCGCAGAAGTATTTTAAAACAGCAATAAAATCAAGCAACATCCAATCCGATCCATAGAGCCCTAATTTACAAATGCGCGATTTGTGCTTTCGTAGTCTTTTAAAGGAGGCAATAAAATTAGTAAATTATGTTTTTTAAGTAATGGACGCATAAACAAAAATGTTGGCTATTCTAAACAATAGGCATGAAGGGAAAACAAAGACCACGGACTAACAGATCATGTCCTTTGTGTATTAATTTCAACTTCATTTTTTGTTGTATGAACTAACAAATTTGAGACAGATTCGCGAAACAAAGTCCACACGCAGCCAACGACAGATTTGTTATTGGTTACCCATTAATAAATTAGTTATTACATAGTTATACCAGTGCGAAGGTATACCAGCAAAAATTAATAAGCCGATGTTCGTGATGCTATCGTGTGTATGTATTGAATTGTTTAAGAATTAAATCCTGCCATTGGTTCCTTCAGGTAAGTCCCTAACCTCGTCTTTCGGACGAGAAACGAAAAATCCGATAGTATGATTTCTACTAAGCATCTGCATAATTTTGTATGTTTTCAAATGCTTGAATGCGTGAACCACAAGTTTTCAACAGCAAATAAGCAAAAAAGCAACCCAAAACACAAAACAGAACACAAAAAGCCAAAACCGCCAGCAAACAACAACAGCAGCAGTAGCCGCAGATACAACAACAGCAGCAGCAGCAGCAGCAACAACAACAACAGCAGTAACAACGCAGCTAAAGCGTATGACAAGCTGTCGGGGTAGGATATTCATGAGCTTTCATCCCCTCATATATTATAGACATTTCTCGATTGTATATTTGAGTTGTAAATGAGTAAAATTTGCTCAGCATAATAGTAACGCTATAGAAATAAGAATCAGTGTAGTTCGCATCGCGATAACGCGTTTCACACACAGAAGGCCGCAGAGACAGTCGCATGAAACTAAACGACAAACCCTTTCACAATGTTGCCTACTAGAAAATCCCAAATCAAAACCGCCGAGTTTCTCTTGTTACACGCATCAAGTGTCTAATTAGAGAAGACTAGAACGGGCCTCGACGAAAATAGTGACACGGAAAATCGGAGGGACGTGTATAATAACGCGTCTCGGCACATGACTATTCTTTTGAGTCGAGACAAATCACAGGTTGTCGACAATACGTCGTGTAACGTGAAACAGTCACGGCGGTAAAATATACACTTATTTTAAGGGGTTTACGCCTGATAGACGAGATACAACTGAGTGCGTACACTCGTTTACGACATGGATCTATCGTGGAATGGACAATGACAAAACAAAAACATATACATTTCACCTTACACAGAAAATTTATAATTTCCGAAGTGAATAAAAGATTGATTTTATACACTACTGATGCTCGTCAATGCACAGATCGATGTCAGCTCGTGTTTTATAGAAGTCATTGGGTGGTCTAGTTGTTGATATGGTACGCCAATAATAACAGGAAAATGCCTAGTGAGATTCAAGTCTCAGGGTACATACAGATTGAATTTCTAGCTGTAAGAATTACAATTGTTTGATGAAGGAAAGACATGAAAAATAAAAAAGAATGAACCTACCTTTTCTAAATGATGACATGTGATCAGGACTAGTAGAGTTAATGTTAGGATGGACTAGATTTGCCGTAACATTATATTTATTATTATTGAAGCTATCATATTACGTTAGGCACTTAAATCGTTAACGTAAAAATGATATTAAGATATCAGAGGTAACGTTTATATAAGGATATCAAACGTAACATCGATATTAAGATAGCAGCCCAACATCGATGGTCGTTTTAGGAAAAAAAGAATCTTATCGAATCCTTATTCAATCGGTCTTAATTTGATATTATCTCTCATCATAACGTTCGATTATCCTCCGTTATGCGGTACGAGCATATGACAAATATAGTACGCGGTTATGACTCTTGCGGTCAGGCATATTGCCGCAGGCTTACATGCGCTTTCTCTGACTGACTAAATGTGACCATATGGAACATCTCCCACCACACAGAACATACTTCAGAGGGGGCTACAATGGTTCGCTGTGTGTGTGTGTGTGTGTGTGTGTGTGTGTGTGTGTGTGTGTGTGTGTGTGTGTGTGTGTGTGTGTGTGTGTGTGTGTGTGTGTGTGTGTGTGTGTGTGTGTGTGTGTGTGGTTTAGTGCACACCATGAACATGTAATACATCGGTTGTGGCATTTGTCGCTGTCATCCAAAAAACGAGATTGTTTCAAGTGTGCTCGTCATAATATAATAAACACCCCATTTTCAAGACCATTTCATTAATTATTTTTTTCTATTATCAATTTATGTAGATAATACAAAGTTGCTCTAATCCGTCACGTTTTCCTGTATCTTCGTGAAATTTCACCATCTTCTTATATAATCCGGTGCTGTCTAAATCCATATTAACTCTGCCAATCATTCTTGCATACATATGCATGTAGTTACTTTACAATAGCAAACAGATCGCTGTTGAACCGTTTCGCATCGTGTTTGCAGCTTTTCGCTCCGGCTGAAACAATACAACGCCTCTTAGACGCCGCTTCACCCTTCGTTTCGCGCTTGCACTCGTAGCGGACTTTTCGTCGCGGTCTAGCGTAAAGATGCTAGCGCGGCTTCCAGTTCAGTGAGCGTGTCATTGGCGAAATGATTTCGTATACAATGAATCAGTGCGCGCAGCCTCGCTGCGTGGAGGTCGCGGCCCGCGAGCATCGGCGAAGAGACGAGCAAATTATTGCACTGATTTTTCAGAGAGTTTACCAAGTGCGCGATTTTTTTTCCGACCCGCTGTAGCCTGAGCTACTTCAGCGGGCGTGCATTACCGAGTCGACGCGCTGAGAGTCGACACGAGACGCTGGTGCTCTTTCATCAGCGTCTTCAAGCTTCGCACCGATGTGTGCATCTAACGCTAGAGCTTTCGCTGCGCACATCCTGAGATTTTCTACAGCAGAGATTATCCAACTTCAAATATCTCGTCATGTTTTTCCAAAAATGGCAGTATCGCACGCGAAAGGTCAAATGAATCATACGAACATCAAATGCCTTGATCGAAAATACCTACTTGAAACAGCAAAATAATGGTACAGTGTGCCGATATCCGGAATTGTGCTATACGCAATAGCAATTTTCTCCGCTTGCGACCAAAAGAATCATGCACAATTAATATGCGAGGTATAGCGTAGATAGCGAGAAAGTCAATAATATATAATACAGATTTAAGATCATTTAACAGTATAACGTGCAACGTATACCAGAAAACAACGCCAATGCTAATAGAGATGACCTAGTATACGACTATCCCCATAATATACATAATAACAATGTTATATAACAGGATTCCACTATCAACTCTTTGTGACAAGAATATATGTTCTACTAATATACTAAATACAATCAAATGTATAATAAATATCATAGTATTATGTATATATATTCGTACTAATAATCATGTAAATGTAATCAAATAAACATAGATATAATAATATAGTGTACAACACAAGTAGTATAATACTAGTAGTACAATAGTATGCTAGGGCTATTAAGAGTAGCAACTATAGCGCGTCAATATCAACAATACTCATCCTCATATGACAGATAACGCGTTTGGAAGGAGAAGTTCAAGTCGTAGTGCAACATGCATCTGCCCCACACACGGCAGTGTCTACGATATGGGGGCGGAAGAATCGGAAATGAACCCACACGAAGTTGTGTACAAAGCCAGCTGACTTTACTTGAGAGTCAATTTTGTCAATTACAGGCGATATACTGCGGCACTTCGGCAAAAGCCATTTACAGCAGACGTTCTCGACCTGAATGGGAAGTGTGCTCTGAATGGAAGAAGTTAATTTAATAATCGTAATGAAATTGATTGCCCATGGCTAAGCCGCATACTTAGTGCGCTCAGGGCAGACTTAATTACCGAGAAATTATGTAAAGCAATGTTGGCGGAGTACTAATTATAGGATAGCCGCTCATGCGTCCACACGCGACACGTAAGATGACAAAGACGTGAATGTGAGACCAGAACCTCTCGTTCTTTAAATGATCTGCACGGAGAAACGTTAACGAGCAACGTTCTATATGTAGGCAACAGCGGTTACTCGTGCCGCCATAGCAGTAATTAACAACAAACGACGGCGGACGCAGCGTGAATTTCAATGAAGTAGTTCGTTTAACAGTTTGTTTATCATTTTGTATATTCAATTTTGAGCTCATTAGTTATCTACTCGTTCTTCACTCTTTCCGCGCGTCAATCATCTATTAGATTATTCCTCATTAAGTGCATATTGAACAACTTATTTAGTGCGCATACGTCTCTGTATGAAGCAAGATACTCGGCGCAAAGGCACGCGCACATCCTACGTTTAGATATTCAGCTAGCAATGCAGCTACAACACAGTACGACAATACCACAACACTAGTACGCGACGACATGGCTACATGGTCACACGACCACACGACAGTACGACAATACCACAACACTAGTACGCGACGACATGGCTACATGGTCACACGACCACACGACAGTACGACAATACCACAACACTAGTACGCGACGACATGGCTACATGGCCACACGACCAAACGACAGTACGACAATACCACAACACTCGTACGCAACGACATGGCTACATGGCCACACGACCACACGACCACACGACAGTACGACAATACGACAATACCACAACACTAGTACGCGACGACATGGCTACATGGCCACACGACTAGGGTCCCTGTATACAGAACCTGTATATAGGGACCCTACACACGACCACACGACAGTACGACAATACGACAATACCACAACACTAGTACGCGACGACATGGCTACATGGCCACACGACCACACGACAGTACGACAATACCACAATACCACAACACTAGTACGCGACGACATGGCCACACGACCACACGACAGTACGACAATACCACAACACTCGTACGCGACGACATGGCTACATGGCCACACGACCACACGACAGTACGACAATACGACAATACCACAACACTAGTACGCGACGACATGGCCACATGGCCACACGACCACACGACAGTACGA